TTTATACTGCCCGAAGCTGCTGTAACTGACGTGTCATCCCACAGCCGCTCTGCACAAGAAACTGACATGTCTTACCGCAGCTACTGTGCACAGGCATCACTAACACTGCCCGCAGCTGCTGTTCAAGCTAGTGTAACAAAGTGGAATTAGTGTAAAAACCCTCTTAATGTGTATAAAATTGAGTGTTATGACCAATTTCGTGAAAACATAGTGTATTAGACCAATAATGTGTTAAAATCTATGGAATTTAGTATACCCAAGGACCAATAATTGGAAAACGCGTGTACATTGAAAAATCTATTTAAAGACGACATAGTAAGTGTATGCTGTTAAGTATTGTATTTTAACAGTGAAATATCTGATTAAAATATGATTTTTATATGGTCTACTCGAAAGACCGTTTAAAAACAAGACTAGAAGTAACTTTATAGTCCATTGTAAGCGTATACAAGGTCGGTCTAATGAAAAGAACACGGTCTACTCGAGAGACCGTTTAAAAACAAGACGAGAGGTAACTGTATAGTCCATTGTAAGCTTATACGAGGTCGGTCTACTGAAAAGAACACGGTCTACTCGAAAGACCGTTTAAAAACAACACTAGAAGTAACTGTATAGTCCATTGTAAGCGTATACGAGGTCGGTCTACTGAAAAGAACACGGTCTACTCGAAAGACCGCGGTCTACTCAGTAGACCGTGAAGACGGTGACAGTAATTCTGTTGAGAATTTGGTATACTTGAATAATGACTACTTAGTCTTAATTGACTAGAAAAAAGTACTGAAAATATATTAAACGGCCTAGTTTATTTGTAAATAAAAATGCCATACTAATATTAATTAATTAGTACAAAAATTATTAGTTTTTAAAGCAATATCCCACCTTTAGTTAAATCTCGTTTGCCATTTAGTTAGTATTTAGTTTATATTTCGTTAAGTTTAGGAGATATTTAAAGAAAATTACTAAACAAATTCAATTCAAAAACACACTTTTTTAATGACAGTAAAAAGCATCAGCTAGCTGTTGCACGCGACGTTGTCCGCGTTAAATAAAAACTGACTACTCACTGACAACATAGCTTTTTAATGGTGAAAGAATTTTTGAAATCGGCCAAGTAGTTTTTGAGTTATTTCAATATATACAAAACTACAAATCTTTCCTCTTTATGTTAGTACTAGCTGTTCCCGCGCGGCTTCATCCGTTTGAAATTATGAAAATTTTATTTTATTGTTTACATTTGTCAAATTATCAATTACAAATGACAACATGACATGACAACCTTGCTTCCTTGATGTTGGCAGCAACTTATGGTCTCTCCCACATTAGGGTTTTTATCCAAAATATTTACCCCCTAAGTTTAAAGGCGTTAAAATATGTAGCCTAAAGCATGACACAAGTGTAGGGCTTTTTATTAAAAAAATATTCAAAAATATGCTGTAATTGCTGACATCTTAGGCAACAAAGAAGTGTGTTTACACTTTATTATAATAGTATATATTACGACGAATTATTGCCATTTGCTTCAATTTTATAACCCTCTGTGGATTTATAATCTATGCATTTGACAGTTGTTTTTTTTTTATATGAGCTTTAATGCGTTTTTGTACTAAGTGCCGTTTTTAAACCCAAGATAAATTTTAGTGTAGCGTTTAATTTAAAAATATATTAATATAAAGAAATATGATCTTAGTGAAAATTAGCTTTTAGAGAAGAAAATAATTTTAATAAAACAAACACACATTTTCACAGATTAATGAAATTAAAATAATTCACCATTTATATAGATAATTATTAGGAAATTTGAAATAGTTTTTTGTTTATTTAAATGCAATTTATCAAGAATATTAGTTTCATAATTAAAGAAAAGAAATCTTAGATAATTTACGATTGCATTATTTTTTTTAATTAGCAGTTAAAGTTAAAAAAACTTGGCTCTACGAGATCGTGTCAACTTCAAACCAAATAAAAAAGTTAGTCGAAAGCGCGCGAAACCAACTGTCATCTGTCAGTGTCAACCGCGCCCGCCATATTTGATTTATCGCTTTTACGATTTTCGTTTTCGTCTGTAAATATTGTGCATTTACTAAAAAAAAGCCATTTCACGATATTTTTTGGCATTGTAAAAAAATTTCTATATTATTTTTATTTGCAATATTAACATTACGCTTCAAATATAGTTTATATAAGTTGGAGAGAAAAGAATTTTTATTATTTTTATTTAACGTGGAAAAATTATGATTAAGATTATAAGAAAAAAAATTCACAAAATATTTTATTGACTAAGTTAAAAAAAACATGAAATCGTAAAGGAACTTGTACGGAAAAGCACTAAAAATAGCTAATAGTTTATGAAATTACATACACTAAAATACCTAAAAATCGGTTTATTCCCAACCGTCACCCTTTCTGTCCCCACGTGGAAACAGATGAGAACAAAATGTTTTATCCGTCACACATTTTGTGAGGAGGGGACGGTTGAAACTAAATTTATATCATAACAGTCCCATCTGTCACCTTTGTGGTGATAGTGGGACGGATAAAACTTAGTATTCTCATGTGGGGACAGTGGGGTGACGGTTGGGAATAATCCTATACAGATTAACTAAATTCTTTCACATTTGTAACCAAAAACCAAAATTTTCCCGCCAATCTTATACATTACATCTCAATCTGAATTAATTCCCTTCTATTCCATATCTTTAAAGAAAGAACGAAGAATTCAATGAAGTGTATTTCTCTTCCGCTCCTTACCCTTCCTATACTCATACCTTTACCAGAGAGGACAAATTAAGAGATTCTTCCTGTCTCCTCTGTTAAATATTCCACTTAAGATAAGGTTAGGTAAGGAAATATAAATTGGTCTCCGGAATCTTCTGTCCGTGCTTGTACAAGGTCTAAATGATTTCTTCTTTCTCCTGAACATCGGAGGAAATTACGCTTATTAGTTTGTAAATGTCTTGTAAATACATTTATTATGGTTAAATTTAGTTATGTGCTCTTGATGTTTTCACTGATTATTTCGTTTTGATCCAAAGATTCAATTGAAACAAACATGGCCGCCAAATGTAATGATGTAATGACCGCCATTTTGATCTTTGACATATGGTCGCCGTTTTGATATGTTTTTTCATTTATTTTTTGAAAATTATGAGTTAAAGAGTGTTATTATAATATGAGTATTATTGCAGTTATGTTAGAAAATGTTTTAAAAGAAATGTTTTGGTAAAAATGAGATGTAACTTTTAGTTGAGAATTTGGATCAAAACGCAGTATTGGTTGAAACGAATACATCGTTTTTCGTGTATATTTTAATAAAAAAATTCTATATTATTAGTAAATAATGTTAACATTCGGAATTGGAAGATTATAAAATGCAATTTTTTCTCTTCATACGTTTCGTTTAAAAGTGACTTGAGGAAATAAAATAATATATACTCGTATTTTGAATTGTAATTTTTATTTTATTGTAATTTTAGTTTTATAGTTTGTGAATTTTAGATTTTAAATTGAAATAAATTATGAAAATATACATTGTCTTGTTATTTTATACCATAAAATGTTTCAACCAGACATTTAAATAATACATAGACGAGACTGAATCAAAGTTTTTTCACTGGTTATTACTCTGTAAGGTACTATATACAGTGGTAGTGCCCGCTTTAACATCTTAGCACTGTAAGCCTCGCCCCCAATACCACGACCACACAGAAGTCAGCCGTGAAATGGAAGCAATTCCGCGTTTCGTCTGATGAATGTGGTGCTGGAGCCCTAATTTAAGCTCCTCTCTACCACCCTTATAAGAAGAGGATGGGAAGGGAAAGTGCATTTGACGGTGGAGGAGATGCATAGGAAGGGGAAATATCCCCTTTATGTGCGTCTCCTCCGTCGTATAAGGGTAGGTAATGCATCTACAATTGCGGATGCCTGCGCAGCGGTCGCTTCCCCATTTTGGTGGATTCAGGTGGCTGCTTGCTCGTTTGCCTCCTTATGTTATAAAAAATAATAATAGTATTGTCAATTTTAGTGCCGACTCGTGTTTTGCTACAAAATAAACCGAACAGTATTACATAATCAAATGAACATTTGAGTATTATTCAATTGCAGCTACTGGCAATTAATTTAAAGATAATGGTTTTGAACCTAACAACAGATAGTGTTATGTGAAAAATCTTTCCAGTGTAGTTCCATCCCTTTTTCATTTTTCCCTTTCCATCCCTCCTACATCATACTAATATTATAAATGCGAAAGTTTAGATGGATGTTTGTTAGTTTGTAGCGTAAACGGCTATACGGATCTTGATGAATTTTGGCATAGAAGTAAAGGATAGTCTGGAAGAACACATAGGCTACTCAATTTTTTTTAAATTCCACGCGCATATTTTTGGTATAACTAACTTCTGTTCAGGCTACAAGCCGTGGTTTTTTGTGCTTATTTGAAATATGCCATCTTGGCGCTGATGTAGGAGTGTTAGAAACTGGAACTAATTTGAACTCTTTTAAAATAGGAATCAAGGATTTTAAAATGACACAGATTTTTAGAGGTATTGAATTTATTTGAGAAAAATATTTACAAGTAAGCTTTAATACCATTTTATGTTAATTTGGTATCTTATATAGATAAATACATAATTTATCGTATTGCTATAATGGAGATACAATAAAATTAATAAGAGGTTATTAAGAAATCTTTGAAAAAAGTCAATAGAAGTATTAAATTAATTCACGGCGCTGGTTTTGCCTGATCTTTATCTTCTTTTCCGTTCTGTTCTTTCTTATCCAAACTATCTTCTAACGAACTTTTTGATAGCTGTCGTAGAATTTTCTCGAATATTTTTGGCGCGCTTTTTGTATTTGGCAACGAAATATCGGTTTGAGTGGTGACAGTCTCCCATCTCTTTTCCTCCTTCACTTCTACAGGTAAGACTGTCTCTTTCAAATCGAGTGTCAACGTTTTCTTTTTAATTTCTTTTTCCTCCGTATCTTTAATTTCTCGTATCTTTTCTGTAACGTCGTCTTTATCTTTTGTTCTTCTGTCAATTGCTTTAGAGACAACGCTGCCTAGAATTTGCGCGCATTTTATTATATTTTGGGTCTCTTTTGCAGTTAAATGTAATCCTTCTTGTTTTATAAGATCGTGAATGTTTATAGATTTATCGGGTGAACGTTTAACAGAGCCATCTGTTGAGAATTCTGTAAAACACAAGAATATACAAACGATAAAAATACCAACGCTTTTATATTTGACAAAATTCCTACATATGTAATAATATTCATACTAACACATTAAAATAAAATAATTAAAAATTATAAAATAAATATAGACAATGTTCATAAAAATTAGATTCACCTAATTTGATTGCGTCCCGATTTACCGATCAATAAATTAAAAAAGCGCCATCTATTATTCAAAATCAGCTAATTTTCTTTCAATGTTTTAACAAAAGATGGCGCTTTACCAGGTAATTATCGAAACAAAATTTTAACTTTTATTATAAATCCACTCACCAAAGTCCAATAAATCTAAATCATCGCTACGGTACGGTGTAGGGCAGTGGTCGTAGTGAGCGCTCGTGGGCCCGTTGTACCGCGCCCAGAAGTGAGCCCATTCCCCCTCAGCGGGGCCAACGCGACTTGACTCCTGCCACGTACTCACACAGCAACTACACAATTAAAAAATCTTACTAATAAAAATGTGTGTTTGGATCAAATAGATTAAAAAAATAGAGGAGGCAGTTGACACTTCATTTGAAATGTTTTTACACCTAACGCCATCTATTGATAGATCCTCAAAACGAATAATTGTATTTAAATTAATTTCCGACAGATGTCATTAAGTAAAATATTTAAATGTTTTATTATAATAAAAGACACGAAGCGGTACTTAACTTAACAATAGTACTTTTCAGAGAAAGTATCGGTAAAAAAATCACTGTTTTATTTCTTAAAATGTCTGGACACAAACGTTTTTATAGTTTATAGATATTCAATAGTGTTTCTTTGAGTAACAGTGGTAGAGCCAGCAATACCACGACCACACAAGATAGGCGTGAAGTTTTTTTTTTATAATATAAGGTGGCAAACGAGCAAACGGCCACCTGAAATCGCCAAAATGGCGAAGTGACCGCTGCTCATAGACATCCGCAATTGCAGATGCGTTGCCTACCCTTATCAGACGGAGGGGGAGACGCACATAAAGAGGATATTTCCCCTTCTTATGCATCTTCTCCACTGTCAAATCCACTTCCTCTTCCCATCCTCTTTTTATAAGAAAAGGGTGGTAAAGAGAAAGGGACTTAAATTAGGCCTCCGGCACCACACTCATCAGACGAAACACGGAATTGCTTCCATTTCACGCCTGTCTTCTGTGTAGTCGTGGTATTACTGAGGGCGTGCCGGCCCTGCAGTGCTAAGATGTTAAAGCGGACACTACCACTGTTGAAGTGGAAGCAATTCCGCGTTTTGTCTGTATATACCTGGATTCATTGAGGTCTTGTGATCTCGGGGACATGAGTGTGTCCGGCGCTACCCCCATAGAGCCCAGCGAGGAGGGCGCGGAGTACTCCGGCGACACAGAGGAGCAGTCCAACTCAGTACTCACACCTTGTCTGAGAACAGTACGACAATACTGATAGCCGTTCAGTATAGAGTAAACTGTCAACAACAGCTATTCAAACATTCTTAAGTTCTCCGTCCTTATCTGACTCCTGTCTTTCAGGTTAATATATCTCACTCACTCCCTTCTTAAGTCCGTTTCACGCAGAGATTACCAAAAACATATAGAGGATAGTTGACTTGAAACTTTTTTTAAAATAACGCTATCTATTGATAGATCCTCAAAACTAAATGTCAATATAATAAATTGTCATCATCATTATCCACTTGCCCTTATCCCTTACGGAGGGTCGGCACAGTACGTGCTGCTCTTCCATACATCTCTATCAGCCGTCATATCTGAATCCACTCCTTTCTTAAGCATATCCTCTTTCACACAATCCATCCATACTTTCTTCTGTCTTCCTCTTCCTTTGTAGCCATCCACATTCAATCTTAACACTTTCTGGTTTATGTCCCCATCAATATAATAAATTGTATTTAAATTAATTACCAATAGGTGTCGTTAAATTTAAATGTTTATGTTTGATTTTATAACAAAAGATGGCGCTTATTATAATTTTGTAAAATATTGTATAACATGTCAGTACAACATGATACGGCACTAAATTTGACAACTACCTTATAAAGAAGTTACCGGCAAAAATGTTCCCTATGTCTAGTCTATAAATTTCTTAAAACTTCTTTCAAGCTATACAACCCGAAAAGCTTTTTAATGTTGACAGAGTGGCGCTAGTGAGCCGTTTAGTTCGATTTCTGACCACCAGGTCAGACATGACAAAAAACCATTGCATTGTAAACGTCAAATAGTTCTAGTAAATTAAAAAAGAGACTTCATCACACTTAGGGAAACAAATCGTCAATTCTATAATCTTGTTTCTTACTTCCTACTAATATTATAGTTAAATGCGAAAGTTTGGATGTTTGTTAAAACACATAGGTATTTTTACCCGGAAACAGTAACGATTCACGATTACACTAATTTTTTCGTATTTACTCGATAATTCTGCAACGGTTCAATATATTATATTGAAATTTGGCACATATGTAAATAAAGCCTGGTGTTACACTTAGGTTATAGCTCATCCCCAATAAGTGAAACATTCCTAAGAGATATATAGTATTTTTTTCCTAATATCATCAATGGAAGCCAACACTATACCTGTATTGACTCGAAGATGTTTTACTGTCTCTGCTGCAAGAGACCGTGCTCTGGCGACTGTATCTGCTGTCGAGGCTCATCTGGCCGCGCCTGGTGACGTCACGCCTGGCCATCTGGCACTGCAACGAGCCGCTGCGTGGTTTCTGGGGTTTAGGGGTAGATGGCGCTGTACGTTTGATACCGTATTTGGAATTCATGTCCTCGAAATCTGAAACCTATTAAAAATGGCGGTTTCGAAAAAAACTACGTTTCTTGTTTCTCTTTTCGTTCTTCATTTTTTGTATATAAATGTTTTCCTGGTAATTGATTTACGAAAAAAGGCTCACTTTTGTACAATTCATTTAAAAATATCGCAAAACTGTAGTCTCGTTTATATTATATGGAGGATTATTATATGGAGGCACTATTCGTTTAGTTGTGCAACTAAAAAGTTTGGCTGGAATCGTGCGATAGTTTAGTCAAATGTGTGCGCTCTGTTATGAACAAGTCTTTACAGGCTGAACATGCTAGATCATCAATACCCCCCATCCTTCCATCTTACTAATATTATAAATGCGAAAGTTTAGATGGATGGATGGATGGATGTTTGTTAGCGTTTGTAGCCTAAACGGCTGAACGGATCTCTATGAAATTTAGCCCAGGTTCAGAGCATAGTCTGGAAGAACACATAGGCTACTTTTTATCCCGGGAATAGTTACGGTTCCCGTGGGATTCTTTAATTTAGTTTTTTAATGTTTACTCGATCATTCTGCAACGGTTCAACATATCTTATTGAAATTTGTCACAGATATAAAACGAAGTCTGAAGTACACATGGGATAAGCTTCATCCCCGAGAAATGTCCGGTTCCCGGGATACGTAACTTTTTGTAATTTATATAGTTTGTATGTTTTTTAATACCACGCGGACGAAGTCGCGGGCAACAGCTCGTTATTATATCAAAAGGCTACGCACATGCCGCAACAGAGCAGTACGTTAGCCATTAGCAGTAAGTTTATACCTTTGTATTTCCTATAATTAAAATTAGTAGTAGAAAGTGTGTTTTTTTTCTTTTTTTTAAAAGGACCCACGAACCGCCATCCTAACAGCTCGCTAAGTTAAGTACAGTCGGGGAAACTGACGGTGTCCTACAAGGTTACAATCGTTTGAACAATTTGTAACGAGACGCGGACCAAAAATCAACACAACACAGCTTATTTGTGTACAAAAAAGTCGGTTATCTTACTAATATTATAAATGCGAAAGTTTAGATAGATGTTTGTTAGAGTTTGTAGCCCAGACTGATCGGATTGCGATGAAATTTGGTATAAATGTAGAGAATAGTCTGGAAGAACACATAGAGTACTTTTGTATTTGTTAATTCCACGCGGACAGAATCGAGGGCGAAAGCCAGTATATAGAAATAAACGTTCTCTTACCTGAGATAATTCCAACGACATATCATCTTCTACAGAAGTATCCTTACTTCTAGCAGAGTGCGCCATGCTGTGCCGCTTCGGGGAGTCGAAAGTCCTCTTCTTGGGTATGGAGTCGAGGGAGGGACGTCGGTGTGAGCCGGGGAGGGAACTTGCTCGATCCGCTCTGCAACAAGAAACTATTTAGACCCTTATTTTATACAGACTCCTATATTTAGTGTTTCTTTAGAGTTTAAAGTGTCACATTCGAGGACTGTAGAGTTCTCTAAAATAAAGTATAAAGAGGAAATTTTTGTTTTTGTGTGTAATAAAATAACTCAAAAACTATTGAGGCGATTTCAAAAATTCTTTCACCATTAAAAAGCTACGTTATCACTGAGTGACATAGGCTATGTTTTATAGTATTTTATAAATTCACGTGCACGGAGTCGCGGGCGAAAGCTAGTAACAAAACTTAAAAACTACAGGCGTTATCTTAAAAATTCATTCACCAATCGAAAGCTACGTTATCATCGGATTTACACATATATACTACTTGCATAGTAGCTTTCGCCTGCGACTCCGTCCGCGTGGCATAAGAAAAACAACATAAGTAAGTATCCTATGTATTCTTCTAGACTATGCTCTACGTGACAATCAAGTTCCGTTCAACAATTTAGTATACAAACATACATCTAAACTTTCGCTTTTATAATATTAGTAAGAAGTATATAATGCAGAATTATCTATTACGAGCTGTTGCCTGACCTCGTCCGCGTGGTATTAGAAAACATACGAACTATATAAATTACAAAAAGCTACGTATGCCGGGAACCGGACATTACTCGGGGATGAAGCTTATCCCATGTGTACTCCACACTTTGTTTTACATCTGTGCCAAATTTCAATAAGATATGTTGAACCGTTGCAGAATGATCGAGTGAACATTAAAAAACTAAATTAATGAATCCCGCAGGAACCGTAACTATTCCCGGGATAAAAGGTAGCCTATGTGTTCTTCCAGACTATGTTCTAAACCTGTGCCAAATTTCATGGAGATCCGTTCAGCCGTTTAGGCTACAAACGCTAACAAACATCCATCCATCCATCCATCTAAACTTTCGCATTTTTAATATTAGTAAGAAGTAAGAAGTGAGATTGATTTTTGTGTTCGTATACCGTTTGACAATTTGCCGTCCTGTGACCACGAGATCTAAGTTTTGACTCTTAGGTTGTCTCTTAGGTGTGGAGTTACTTGAAGCGGGCGCTGTATTGATTCTCTTACTCTCCTCTTCTTTACTGCCGCGACGGGAGAGACACGCGGAATTCCTTCTAGAAGTCGGCCTACTCTTCCCACCTTCTACTTCCTTATCTTCTGTGTGGCGGCCGCTCTTTTGCATGGCGTGATACTGCAACAAAAAGAGACAATCTTACTAATATTATAAATGCGAAAGTTTAGATGGATGTTTGTTAGAGTTTGTAGCCTAAACAGCTAAACGGATTTTGATGAAATTTGGCATAGATGTAGAGGATAGTCTGGAAGAATACATAGGCTACTTTTTTAATTCCGAGCGATCGAAGTCGCGAGCCAAAGCTAGTTTATTATAAAATAAACTAGATAAAGTGCTGTACAGTCAGGAAATTTGTCGGTGTTAAAAATTAAAAGCTAGTCTTAAAAGTCGACCAGTACAGCTTAACTATTTATTATGCCCGGTTTACATTTCTATACCATTATTGTAAAAAGTTTGGATTTGTGTTTTTAGATTCTAGTATGTATTGAAATAACTCAAAAACTACTGGACCGATTTTAAAATTCTTGCACCGCTAAAAAGCTACATTGTCAATAAGTAACATAGGCTAGATTTGTATTTTTTTTTAAATTTCAACCGGACTAATAGTTAATACAGTTGCACAGTTGCAACGGCCAATCATAGATTGTATGGATTCACTGGCGCCAGTTAGCGTCCACACTATGCCAGTAGATTGTAAGTCCACTTATTGAGTGCTACTAACCCACTGTAGAGGCCTAGTGTAAACCGGCAAATATATCTTTTTACGCAACCCACTGCCAACCAATTGGTTATTTATGAGAGGATATTGTTTTGTTGCGAAGACCACTGCAATATTTCTTAAAAGTGAACACCGCGGATTGCCGCGATTGTACTTATGACAAATGACAGTCCAATACTTTAAATTAGTTGTTACTAGCTTTCGCCCGCGACTCCATCCGCGTGGTGTTCATAAAAACAAAAGTGAGTAGTCTATGTGTTTTTCCAGACTATCCTCCGTGTATGCCAATTTTCATCGAGATCCGTTCTAAACTATTAGTAAGTTTAGGCTACGGGTAAATGTAAATACCTTTGAATAAACAACTGTTTAGTCTTACTTAGATTTTTTTTTTTATAACAAGGTGGCAAACGAGCAAGCGGCCACCTGAAACCGCCAAAATTTCGAAGCGATCGCTGCCCAGACATCCGCGATTGCAGATGCGTTGCCTACCCTTATACGACAGAGGAGGAGACGCACATAAAGAGGATATTTCCCTGTCTATGCATCTCCTCCACCGTCAAATCCACTTCCTCTTCCCAACCTCTCCTTATAAGAAAAGGGTGGTAAAGAGAAAGGGACTTAAATTAGGCCGTCACCACACTCATCAGACTGTACACAGAATTGCTTCCATTTGACGCCTGTCTGTGTGGTCGTGGTATTGGGGGCGAGCCCTGCAGTGCTAACATGTTAAAGCGGGCACTACCACTGTTATATATTCCTATTTCCTAAACTCGATTTTTAGCTGTGCAACTAAACAGTTGGGTTGCGAAACAATCGACAATCGCACAGTTTTGCGTCCAGTTTAGACAAAGATGTGCCCACGCTTAGGGTTTTAGATAATTAAGGAAAATGGAAAACTCACCTACAAGCTAACTGTATAACTTCATTATATAGTTTGTATGTACACAGCTGGACAGGTTCTGACGAACTGAGCGATATAAAGGGCGATACTAAGACATGCTTGAACAGTTTATGATGTACATATTGTGGCAAGCGGGGCGATAGCGGGAAAAAACTCGCATAACCTAACTTTTAGTAATTAAATTCAATATCTATAAGACCTTAAATCTACTACAAATTGCCATTTTTCAGTATTTTAAATCAGTATTAGTTCTATAAGATCCGAAAGATGTAATTAATTTGTTAGCGATGAAAAAAATAACCTAAAAATTAAAATACCTTTTCGATTAGATCTGTTACTTTTAACAGAAAGTTGAATTTTTTTAGTCCAATTAATATTCTCTATCTAACTAAATGTATTGATATTTTTAATGTTACACTGAATTTTAAAATATGAATCACTTATTGAAAAGTTTTTTTAAACGACTGTACATAAAGAGGTTAGAAAACTATTTATTTTTATTTTAGTTATATTCGATCTCCGCTTGTATTGTATCCACAGTCTTAATTAGGGGTAGGGGGTGAGCAGTGGCCCGAACAGGCTCACATACCCCCGACACGATTGACCGATTTCTCTAAACACGTCGATAACTTGATATAACCACAAATACTTCTTACAGTATTAAAATCAATCATCCAATCGAGGACAGTGAACACAGGCCAGTAGCTGGAACACTTGAATATAAGCTGGCATACACCAGGTACAGTATTTTTGAACACTAACTTGCATACTGATTTTTGAACTTCAATAATTTTCATCTAAAATTATGCATAATTAAATAATTGCTATTTTTATTTTAAAGGCGTTGAAGCATATTTCTTAAAACAATTAATAATCTTTCGTCTTTCATTATTAGCATTTCATAATAAAAGAAATGTTTTTATGACGTATTGTTACAGATTATATATATATTTTCATTTCATATTATTAGACTGTTTGTTTTAACATGAGTGTGTCGAATTAACAAGCTATTGAGTAAATATTGCGTAATATGGAATAGGAAACGCACTTTCCTTGTCAATTTGTGTTGCGTGTTCATTTGTTAGGTAATCGAGATCTCTCTGAGTGACCTCATCTGTAATGAGGACAGTTTATTAAAAAATCTCACATCCTTAAGACATCTCTATTATATAAAATTATTATTAACTGTTAATATAACATAACTGTATAAAAACGGAAATAAATAATAAGGGTGTTTTCTGTAATTCGTCTTTTTCTTTTTAAAATCTTTTAATAAAACGGAGAATTTAATTTACTATAGCACGCCATCTATTGGCGAAGAGTTTAATTAATTTGTAATTTATAGTGATTTAAAATGACACTAGAATTCTCCAAAATAGCGAAGCGACTGCCCATAGACTGACTTAACAGATTGTCTATCTTGAATAGTAAATGGTATATAGTATTGTAGTAAATAATCCATTTATATTACAAGAAATTTATATAAAAATGAAAACCATCGGAATTCCTTAACGTATTTCCAAGATATTACGTAAATTAAAGGCGTTAAAAGCTTTTGTTTGTAAGCCGCCATTTTGTTTTAACAAACGACCACGAAACGAGGCCCGTCCGGTATAGAGAAAGCCAACCCTTTTAGTAATGATGCGTGAAGGTGTGTAGAAATGTATGGTAAATAAATGTTTATGTTTGTATAGATTTACATTTAAAACATTCTTAAAAGGATGTCGTTCCTAATCTCATTCTTTTTAATTAATAGAAAGCAGACGCACGCCGTACGTACGGCCACGTACGGCCACGGCCATTACGGAATTAGATTTTTGTTTATTTCGTCAAAAAAATTAAAGAAAAATTACTTCTTACCAATCTATGCTATTATAATAAAGCGTAAACACACTTTGTTGCCTAAGATATTAGCAATTACAACATATTTTTGAAAAATTCTTTTTTTTAATAAAAACGCCCTACACTTACATCTACACGCACTAAATGGATGGATGTTTTTTAGAGTTTGTAACCTAAACGGCTGAACGGATTTCGATGAATTTTGGCATAGATGTAGAGGATAGTCGGGGAGAACTCATAGGCTACTTAGTTTTTTTTTAATACCATGAGGACGGAGTCGCGGGCGAAAGATAGTATTATAATAGTTTAGATGGATGGATGTTTGTTAGAGTTTGTAGCCTAAACGGCTGAACGGATTTCGATGAATTTTGGCATAGATGTAGAGGATAGTCGGGAAGAACACACAGGCTACTCACTTTTGTTTTTTTTAATTCTACGCGAATGGGGTCGCGAGCGAAAGCTAGTAATATTGTAAAAAGGAACACTTTGCTTGTTTGATTATAATGAGGCTCAAAAACTACTGCCGATTTAAAAAAATCTTTCACAGGTAGAAATGTTATCTGTGAGTAACATAAGCTATATTTGTCACTTCTTTATTATTATTTTTAAATTTCACGTGGACGGAGTCGCGGGAAAAAGCTAGTGTTATATAAAAATAGTTTTAATTTGTATTGTATACTTTAAAAATAAAAAGCATTGGTTAATCGACTCAAATGTTTTCAAACAAGTTAATCAACAGTGTGAACCCAGTGCAACCTGTCACCCACCGGTCAGACTTTCGCTACAAGGCCGTGTAGGGCCGAGATGGACTTTCACTCGGAGGCTGAGGAATAGGGTCGCCATGATGCTACGGACATTCCTGCACGCGAAACCTCAACTAACAACTCTAGAAAAAATTTAATACTTAAATTTAATACTATATCTATACTAATACTAGCTTTCGCCCGCGACTCCTTCCGCGTGGAATTAAAAAAAAAAGTGAGTAGCCTATGTGTTCTTCCAGACTATTCTCTACATCCATACCAAATTTCATCGAAATCCGTTCAATCGTTTAGGCTACAAACTCTAACAAACATCCATCCATCCATCCTCCCATCTAAACTTTCGGGTTTATAATATTAGTATGAAGTATTATTATAAAGAAGGAAGATTTGTATTTTTGGTATGTATTACAATAACTCCAAAACTATTTGACCGATTTCAAAAATTCCTTCACCATCAAAAAGCTATGTTATCGATGAGTAACATAAGCTATATTTTTAAAGTAGAGGAAGTCGCAAACAGCTAATTCATGCAAATCCTTTAATAAAAGTGTGACTTAAAAACAAAATACACTAAAAACAAAACATTCTCAAAAAAACAGTACACTAAAAAGTAACGAAATAATTCCTTGAAAATAGTAAACCTACCTTATTGTAGCTGTTATGTCTATATTGTACAATTATTTTTACTTTGATGTCGGTGTCAGCCAAGGTATGCAGTGATATTTCTACGTAAGGGTTTCCACATTTTTACCATAACAATTGACAATTGAAAGTATAGTAACAATTAAGTAATGAATTTTCATTGATGTAATTTCACTTACTTAAAATTGACTTGTCAGTTTTTCATTTGACTTTTTGCGGTGTAAAATTTTAATATCTCAGTATTCTTGTAAACGTAGAGTGAGTCCGTATTGCTTATTTACAAGTAATCTAAACACATATTACTTAATAAATAAAATAATTGCCATTCCATTGTAAAAAAACAATTGTTACTGTTATTTATTGTTTGATTCCTTGTATATTTATTAAACACGACTACGCATGCGTGAAATTAAAAAATATAGCCTATGTTACTCACAGATTAATTACCATTCTAACGGTGAAAGATTTTTTAAAATCGGACCAGTAATTTTTGTGTTATTTCAATACATACAAAAATACCAATCTTACCTTTTTACTATACTACTATTTTAAAAATTCTTTCACCATTAAGAAGCTACGTAACTGAGTAACATAGGCTATTTTTTTTTGTTTTAATTTTTACACGGGCAAAGTCACGAGCAACAGCTAGTATTAGTATAGATTAAAACAGAATCTCTAAACTTATGAGGACTATTCCTTTCTCGATTTAAATTTAAAAAACAAATGTCAAAATGACATTCCCGCGAAATCCCGCAAGATGGCGTTCCTTTCCAAAGTTGCGTAAGGTTAAATACTAAAGCATTCCTAAATAACGACGGCATCTTGTTTCGTAACCTCACAAGTCCGGGATGCCATTGACACTAACAAAATGGTGGGAAATAGCAGCGGAAATGATTACTCCGTACAATAATTGTTTTATTATCGAATCATATACATAACTTTCTATGTTTATTGTAAAAAACATGTAACTAAAATATAACTGAAAGGTTTAATTCATTAAATTATTTCTAGTTTTTATTTATTTATGTAATTAGTAGAATAGTCTCTGGTAGATTATTCCAGAAATAAAAGCACTCATTTGACATTTCGTATGACCTACTATTTGTCATTAATATGATAAATATATAAATATGTAATAAAATAAAACATGATTAATTCATAAAATCTTCCATAACTTTCACTAGATAATAAAATTTATATTTATTAAGTTTATAAGATTGTCTAATAATTTGCGATGTCCGCCATCTTTGAAAAATTTACCGCCGAAACGTAACTTTTAAATATTTGTAGAAAGTGACGACCGGTTTTTATCTTTGTTATTCCGTAATTGTTTATTAAATGACACATATGTGATATGAATCATGCGGATATCCTTGTTTATTTATTATATTGACACATTTTAACACTGGACAAGTTTTTTTTTTTATTCCAATTCGAGGCTAAGTGGCCTTAACAATGAAAATGTCAAAATTGTATGTAAATTACACGCTTTAATAAAAATTATGCAAATACAACATTTATTATTATGAATTTTATTCATAAAAATGTACATTTTTTTTAGTTTATTATATTTTAACTATAATAAGTTTTATGCTTAGTTTTTTTTTCACATAAAAACTTTCTTTTTACCGACTGGTGTAAACAATACATGTGCCTTTGCCTTGATGTCACACGCTCCGCGCCAAAATATTGTTTTGCATCAACTGTCACTTTCAGATTTTCCGCGGTTATGCAAATGTTAAGAATTCCGGCCGCACCCACACATCTCGTACAAATAAAAGAGAAAACGAACTTTTAACGTCCTGCTAAAAACATTAAAACGATTTTATAACATAACACAAAGGAATAAGGTTGATATTAAAATAAAACGCCACAGGGATGCTGTGAACTTATCAATGAAACTGAACTTCAATTATCACCACAAAGCAAAATAAACCATAAATGTATAGCCAATTGATTATATTTTAACTCACGAAAGAGATGCAAATATTAAAAATGTAAACATTACAAATGTAAAATGACCTTTATTTCTATGCAATAAGGTTTAATATCCATCAAGCTGTATATTAAATAAACTCGTATGAGATACACTCTATCCTACTTTCTTTAGAAGAGGTTTTAAGACGACAGTCGTGGCTGTACGGTCGCGAGCTTTGCTCGCTCATTAAAAAAAAAAGCGGCAATTAATAGTTTGACAGTTTGAATGACAATTAAAACGCGCGGAAATTGAAAGTTAGTGAGTGATTCGTGTTTTTTTTTAACTTTTTTTGTGCTGGTGCATTGCTTGTCTGGGATAATATTTTTGAGTTTCCGGGAAAATGGTGAGTTCCTTTTTTTGAACCTGTTATAATTTTAAAAGATCAACGGAATTTAAATCATTCAGCCAATTAAATAAATAATCTGTTATCTTTTATTTATTAAATATTTAAATTTTTAAACTTAATTTCTTTTTAATGTTATTTTTATTGCAATTCATTGCATTAAAATAATAAAGATATTTTTATTCCATTTATTTTTATTTCAAAAACGCATAGGTACTTTACATTAACTTGTGTTTATTTTTAAATTGTGTTTTAAACTGAAATTACGATATTCACCATTAAATTATTTTAAACGCAAATTAAAACCTAAAAATTACTTACTAAACAAGTTAAGAACTACGACAAACCGGCCCTCAGCTTAGTATCCGGTACTTCCGGCAAATCTCTCCGACGCCAGCGCACTCTGACGGTTTAATTGAGCAAAATGAGACATCGGAACAATCAAGTAAAATTGCTGTTACGAATTTATAGTAGGGAGACATAAACCTGAAAGTGTTAAGAATGAATGTGGATGGCTACAAAGGAAGACCGAAGAAAGTACGGATTGTGTGAAAGAGGATATGCTTAAGAAAGGAGTGGATTCAGATATGACGATAGAGATGTATGGAGCAGCACATACTGTGCCGACCCTCCCTAAGGGATAAGGTCAAGTTGATGATAAGACGAATTAGCGTTTTTAAATTAGAGAGAAATCTTGAACCTCATGAAAATTGCATTTCACATTTAAATCCTACAACACGCAAAAAAAAACCTTCATGTGGGAAATGGACCATAAACTACAAGGTGCCAACATTTAGGAAGTAAGGTTGCCATGGTTTGTCTTCGTGACATGTCATTTTGACATTTGCAATTGATAATTTGCCACATGTAAACAATAAAATAAAGTCGCACGGAACAGCTAGTATTATATAAGTGGAAATGAACGGATAATTTCTACATGTAAGAATTTTAGGGAAGAGTTTTAGGGACATTCAATTAAATTAATTATTTAATAACGCGTTAACATCTTCGCACGAATGGGTCGGCTCACCCAGTGTACCACGACCACACAGAAGACAGACGTCAAGTGGAAGCAATTCCGCGTACAATCTGATGAGTGTGTTGCCGGAGGCTTAATTTTAGTCCCTTTCCCTTTCCATCCTTTTCTTATGAGGGAAGGATGGGAAGGTAAAGTGGATTTGACGGTTGAGAAGATACATAGGAAGGGGAATTGTCCTCTTTATGTGCGTCTCCTCCTCTGTCAATAAAGGGTACGCAACGCATCTGCAATTGCGGATGTTTATGGGCCTAATATTAGTCCCTTTCCCTTTCTACTCTTTTCTTAGGAGGAAGGGATGGGAAGGAAAAGTGGATTTGATGGTAGAAGACGCAAAGGAAGGGAAATATTCTCTTGATGCGTCTCTTCCGTCGATTAAGGATAACGCATTTGCAACTGCGGATGTTTTTGAGCAGTCGCTTCGCTATTTCGTTTGCTGCTTTATAATAAAAAAATCTATCCTTGTGCTGGTGGGTCTAAAAAGACCTGCTATTCACTGGAAATATCATTGGGGGCGCATTTAAACCCGCTGTACTAAAAGAATTGTTGTAGCTTGCCGCAGTAAACGTGTTGAAGGATACGTCCACACTATATCCGGTCTACTTTAGTGACCAGCTGTTGATTCATAATTTATATTCCGTATCTAAATGTACAATTTATGTTAATAATTTGGAAAGTATTTATCTCTCGGTTCACGGTAATTAGTGAATTATTAACACACTAGCTGGTTCCGTGCGAATTCATCAGCATATAACTATTTTTTTGTTTACATGTGTCAAATTGTCAATTGCAAATGTCAAAATGACATGACATGACATGACAAAACTTGGCAACCTTGCTTCCTTGATGTTGGCAGCAACTTATGGTCCCTTTCCTACCTTAGGGTTTTTATCCAAAATGTTTACCCCCTAAGTTTATTGACGTGAAAATATATAGTCTAAAGCGTGACGTAAGTGTACAGCTTTTTATTAAAAACAGAATTATTCAAAAATATGCTGTAATTTCTGATATCTTAGGCAACAAAGAAGTGTGTGTTTACGCTTTATTATAATAGTATAGATTCCTGTTTCAATGGTATAATGCAAGACACGTGAATTCTACGAGTATAGTTGGTCTTAACTTGATCTTTTAACAGTGGTAGCCCGCTTTAACGTCTTCGCACTGTAAGGTTGGCTCGCCACACGCCACGACCACACAGAAGACAGGCGTATAGGGGAAGCAATTCCGCATACAATCTGATGAGTGTGGTACCGGTGGCCTAATTTTAATCCCTTTTCCGTTCCATCCTGTTCTTAAAGATGGAAAGGGAAAGTGGATATGACGGCGGAGATGCATAGAAAAGGGTAAATTTCCCGTTCATGTAACGCATCTGCCATTTTGGATGTCTATGGACTGCGGTCGCTTCGCCATTTCGGATTCAGGTGGCCATTTGACTCATTTGTCACCTTATGATATAACGAGCTGTTGCCCGCGACAAAGGTATAAACTTACTGCTAATGGCTAACGTACTGCTCTGTTGCGGCATGTGCGTTGCCATTTTATATAATAACGAGCTGTTGCCCGCGACTTCGTCGGCGTGGTATTAGAAAACATACGAACTATATAAATTACAAAAAGCTACGTATCCCTCGGGAACTGGACCTTTCTCGGGGATGAAGCTTATCCCATGTGTACTCCAGACTTTGTTTTATATCTGTGCCAAATTTTAATAAGATATGTTGAACCGTTGCAGAATGATAGAGTAAACATTAAAAAACTAAATTAATGAATCCCACGGGAACCGTAACTATTCCAGGGATAAAAAGTAGCCTATGTGTTCTGCCAGACTATGTTCTAAACCTGTGCCAAATTTCATGGAGATCCGTTTAGCCGTTTAGGCTGCAAACGCTAACAAACATCCATATATCCATCCATCTAAACTTTCGTATTTATAATTTAGTAAGAATAATAATAAAACACAACCCGTTGTGCGATTGTCGATTGTTTCGCAGCAAATTCAACTGTTTCGTTGTACAACAATCGAGTATTGCACCTCCATAGACAAAGCGAGACTAGTTGTCCGTACTCTCTTTGTAGCCAAATGTATACTTAACGCCTTATTTCGACAGCGGATGTTCCATCAAATTATTTCTATAAGAATTTATACAATGGTACAATTCACTTATTAGTGAGAGCATTGTGCGCGGAGAATTGACGGTCAGCGTCCTAACCGCATTGTTTATTCGTGCGGTTTTCTCACGGAGCTATGAAATAATAATATCGGAAGCCGATTTTAAATGTGATTTGACGAATAAAATTGTTATTAAGAAGCGACTGTCTAGTTCGTTGTAAATCATACTAATATTATAAATGCGAAAGTTTAGATGGATGTTTGTTAGAGTTTGTAGCCTAAACTGCTGAATGGATTTCGATGAAATTTGGTAGTGTGGAAGAACACATAGGCTTTTAACTTTTGTTTTTTTAAATGTCATTCAGACGGAGTCGCGGGCGAAAGCTAGTTATCTATAACTGGCTGTTCCCGAGCGGCTTCATACTTATTATTTACATTTATCAAATTATCAATTGCTAATGTCAAAATGACATAACATGATGTCAAACTATAACAACTTTGCTTCCTTGATGTTGGCAGCTTGTTTATGGTCCCTTTTCCACGCGTAGGTTTTGTTACAATTTATTTATCCCATAAGTTGATAAGCCTGAAAATATGTAGCCTAAAGCGTGTCGTAAGTGTAGGGATTTTTATTCAAAAGAACTATATTCAAAAATATACTGTGTTTGACATCCTACGCCACAAAGTAGTGTCTGCAGGTCATTAATTTGAGAAAACAGTGTTTTTTAATTCATAGATTATAATTATAACTATGAACCTATAAATTCCGGCTTCTACAAGAATAAAAAACGACAATCGGAAAGATTCACGCTTGATTTGACACTAGCCATCCCTACTAAATTATCATGTGAATTGTCAAACTATTCAATCTTATTCAAACTATAATGTTACTAATATTATAAATGCGAAAGTTTAGATGGATGGATGTTTGTAAGCGTTTGTAGCCTAAACGGCTGAACGGATCTCCATGAAATTTGGCACAGGTTTAGAGCATAGTCTGGAAGAACATATAGGCTACTTTATATCCCTGGAATAGTTACGGTTCCCGTGGGATTCATTAATTTAGTTTTTTAATGTTCACTCGATCATTCTGCAACGGATCAACATATCTTATTGAAATTTGTCACAGATATAAAACAAAGTCTGGAGTACACATGGGATAAGCTTCATCCCCGAGTAGTGTCCGGTTCCCGAGGGATACTTAGCTTTTAGTAATTAATATAGTTTGTATGTTTTCTAATACCACGCGGACGAAGTCGCGGGCAACAGCTCGTCTAATCTAAATACTGAACTAATAATATTTTTACGTGAACGAAGTTCCACAACAGCTAGATATATATGAATAGTGAAAGGTTTAGAAAAAAGTTGTAAAAAGCTCGTAGACCATCACATTTCGTGTTACGACCTCTTAACAAGTGCGGTGACCTCAGCACCGAATGTGGTTGCATAATATGAAGCCAGCGCCCCTCGTTCATATTTCAAAACTGGTTTTGGTTTACTTTCACTGGGAGAAATCCATAGAAAAGACGCGTTCGCCACTGGCTGAATGTACACACCTTTAACAAATAAAAAATATGACGTTTGTCAAAGATTAAAAATCGATATGTAATTTGGCGGGAAAGTGACTTACATCAATGGTCATTGTCAGAAAAAGACATAGAAAAAACGATGACGTTGACAATGTGTTCTAATTTTAAAAAATCTAATTTCTTCTTCTTTTCTAATGGCTTGAGACCTAAAAACGTGTAAAAACTCCTTGAACATTGGCTGAATGTGTATAACAGTTGCCTTTTCAAAATTAAAAAATATAACTGTCAATTGACAAGTAATGCGGGAAAAAATGCTTGATGATTT